TGCGAGCCAGGCTGCCGCAACTGGAAAGGTGGGGGCTCGCCTCCGCGGCCGGGACACAGTTGGAGGCAGCCTTCGCTGGGCTGCTGGCCCCCGAGTTGCTGCGCTGCGAGCTGCTGGAGATGGAAATGGGCGAGCCGACCTCTAGGCCCTGGGTGCGTAGGTTGAGCTCAGAGACTTTGAAGCGCCACACATTGCTGTCGGCGTCTCGTAATCGTTCTTTGGTGGCACTGCGGACACGACTGCGGCTCCTGCGGTGCGGTCTACCCGCCGTGGAACGTTCAGGGCTGCTGTTGGCATCCCCCACCCGTTTCTTGCTGCCACCACGGACACGGCTGCACGTGCCAATGGCGCTCATGAGCCTTGGACGTCGGTTGTCTTTGCCACGCTCGCTCATCGATCGCCTTTCGAGCTCACGGGAATCAACCAGTGAACGCCTTGCGACCGGCTCGTGGGCCCCTTCTTCTTCGAATAATCTGCGCCTGAGTTGCGGCTCCTGGCTGCGTACCTTTGCCTGCTGCTGGTCCCTCGCAGTGCTCCTAAACGGATTATGCTCAACTCTTCCACGTGAACGGAAACGAGAGCGGGAACGAGAACGAGAGCGGCACCGAGTGCGAGTGCCGATGTTCACATCGCCATTAACCCCTTGCAGGAGCTTGTGCGTTGACCTGCGTTGCAAATTCTCTTGGCGACGCTGCCCCTCACGTTGTTGGGTGCCGATACGGGGGGACCAATTGGGCTTCCTCCTGGCCCCGGGACTTTGAAGCGTCATCTCCTCTTGGCAACGCTTTTGGCCATATTTCTGGTTCACCTCCCTGGCTCTTCCGTGTCCCGTGCCGACCCTCCCGTTGCGCTGCTCCTCGCGAGCCTTCGGGCTGTGCCTGGGGCGCTGCCAATCACCTCTGGAGTTCATCTCGAAGTTTCGCTTATATTTTGCGTGTGAACTCTAGTGTTTTCCAGCAACCTCCGTTTGCCTGGCTTCTTCTTTGGTTTCCCAACGTCGAACAGAAGATCGTCTGTTCTTTTATGCAGAGAATCGGCTTTACTTAATTGCGACTCTGTAGTATCTCTGGAGTTGCAGAGAGTTGCGTCTCTTGCAATTGCGTTTTTTAAGCTGCAAGCTGGCAAATATTTTCGGAACTGGTACGCTCCTCGCGGCGTCTGTGATGTGAGCTTTTTGAACCCGTGAGTGAGCTGGTGAGTCAGTGAACCACTTTCAAGTGTTGCAAAATGTTCTATTTGTCTGTACTTTTGTATTTTGTGCACAGCAATTTGAAGCGTCATTTTTCGGACTATCAGCGAATAAATAAGGGATCCATGTACACATTTCTAGCCGGAGTTCCACCTGGAACGCATTGCAAGCGAAGCAGGCCAGGCCAGACCAAGCCAGGCTGCCTTTGGGCAACGGCTTTCAATTGGGCCCATGCCCATCCATCGCTTGATTAGAGAGAGACAGAGAGAGAGAGAGCACTCGCATTGCCATTGTGGACCATTGTGTGCTGTGTGCGCGGACACGGACACGGAGACGGAGTGAGTTTCGGCATTCGACATTCGAGTGTTGCGGAAGTGGAAATGGAGTGGGGCGCACTCCACTCCAACGCCATAAGCGTTATTTAATCGAAGCGGATAGCTGGAACTGTAACTGCGACTGGAACTGGAACTGGGGAAACGCATTATCTGCCCCCGTTCGGTTATCAACGGATAATTGGCGAGTGTGTGAGTGAGTGTTTGGTCAATTAAAAGCATTCGCTGGCGTTTTTATCAAATTCAATTAGTCGCCGACAACGAAAGCCAAACAAAACACAGAAGAGAAAAAGAAAAAAAATCAAGCGAACACACACACAAACACACACACACACACACACACACACACACACACACACACGGAAAAAAAAACAAAGTTGGGCAATCATCTTGGGGTGGCGGATACGCAGAAATGTACAGAGACTGCTGATAGACTGTCAAATGCATATTTATATACATATACATATTCATATTCATATTTAGTTGGAATGGAATGGAATGGAATGGAATGGAATGGAATGGAAGGAGACGGCTATTCTAACTATAGAAAATTCGTATAATTAACTAGATAAATTGGCAGGCAATTGGCTGTACAGATCGTTAAGACAATTCGCTAATGACCGCCAGTCGCCGGAGACGACTAACGATCTCCTTTGGCTAATTGGCCTCCGGGCGCGTACACCGAGAGAAAAAGGCCCTCAAATTTAAATTTTAATATCTCTATGCTTAAATCCAAGTTAATTCTATTTAATTGCCCTCCGTTTGCGTGCACTTATGAATCGCTTCACTTGCTCCACTTTTCTCTCAGTGCAGTCGGAGTCAAGTGGAGTGCTAGACGGTGGAGATGGTGCTGCTGATGTGGCCATCAAGCCCAAATTACGAGTCTTGTCCAGACGATGAAGACATCAACAGCAACAGCAACATCAAATCGCTGTATCCGAATAGCGGACCGTTCAAGGAGATTTGCTTTTTGCACGACTCCACCCCACCCCACCACCCTTTGTGCAGCTCTTCTGCAGTTCAGTTCAGTTCAGTTCCTTCCTGCAGCTGGGTTCTCGGCTCGCGGTTCTGTCGTTGAGTTTCAATTAAAGTTCCATTAACGCTTCGCGACACACACAATTATCAAAAATTATATTTATGCCTGTGACATTTCCGGCAGCCCCAGCTCCACCGAACAGTTCCCGATCCGTCCCGATCCGTCCCGATCCGTTCCGATCTGTCCCGCTGCTCGCTGCCCGCTGCCCGCTGCCCGTGCTTATGCAAAATTTATGCCCGTGTCTGAGTCATTTCATTTATTTCAAGACAGCACAGACAGAAGATCAAAGCAACTTTATGATTATGCTGCACGCACATCCATCACCACATCGAGCAATCGTCCGGGGCGGAGCAGAGGCAAGACGTTGCCGGTAATAGCGCTCGTAGCGGAGAGCTTCGGTACAGGCCACTAGACGTCCTACAAAAGAGTCCTGGTCGAAGGAACGAGCGAGCATACTCCGAGAAAAATGGCATAGTAAAGGGAAGCCTTCACTGATCCCTCATCGATTGTCCGGAGGAAGCCAAATAATTGTTTGTGGGCTTTGGGGAAGAGCATACGGAGCGCGACACGGGCACAGAGTGGCAACAGGAACGGAACTCCACGACGACGACACCGGCGAACACTAATTGATGGCCATTCTGGCAATCTGCAATGTTCTGCCATGGCTCCTCCTCGGCCGGCCACAGACAGCGATGCAGTGCCACCTCGTGCCAGCGCTTACACGTTTTTACTTGTGAGGAGCGAACGGTGGGGTGGACCCAGACGAAGCACACTCCGAAAAATATAGGGAAAAAAAACCAGAAACCATCGAGGCGGCATCTGCCACAACAATGCTGCCTCCCAGCAGGAGACCCCAAAGAGGGCAACCACACGATGAGGCTGCTGCTGCTGCGGCTGCGGCTGCTTCTGCGATCTCGTTGCCGATACAAATCCACAACGTCTGTCTGACAACAACTGCTGCAAAAAGAGCAACAACAACTGCAACTGCAACATCGACAACAACAAGCAAAGACAAATTGTCTACGGGTTGAGGTCTTGCTATTGGCCTCCAGCGTGACGATGTCGGGTGCTACTGGCGCCACTCAGCGCCGCAATCACAGGGGGCACGGCAAAGCAATGCAGTGCAGTGCAGTGCAGGGGTTGTGTTTATGGCATGTGCCACCCAACCAAACCAAACCAAACCAAACCAAGCCAAACCACACCGAGAAAGAGCCAAAGCAAACCAAAGACAGACGAAGCCAAAACCAAAAACCAAAACCAAGACCGAAGCGAGACAACCGAACACGCCCGAGATGGCGATGCCGATCATCTGGGAATGCCTCGAATGATTCAATGGTGGCTCACAGGACCACGACATCGATTCAATGCTAATTCAACGGCTTCATTTATTTTAGTTTTGCGCTTCGAAGCAGTCCGGAAGATTCTCCTCCTGGGCACAGACCAAGTTCAGGGACTCTCCGCGGCTCGGGTTCCCATACTTGATGCGAGCGATCCTCTCCCTTCATGTAGAGAGCCGATGGCCTGACCGTCACTTATCCCAGATCCCAATCTGGTACTGGGCATCAGCGGATTGAGAAGGGACTGTACGGCTATGGTGTCCGATGCCGGAAGATTGCCCCAAAAATAGATTTGGAAACTGTCTTCTCCGAGAACCTTCTCCGAGAATATTATATGCTCTATTTATGGACTTTCCTTCTTCCCCTATTCCTGCCACGCCCTGATTATTGAATCTGTTCTGTTAATACTACTACGTATCCGATACGCAAAGACCCAGCAGTAACGGAGCGGTGGAGCAGCGGAAAAATGGAAGCAGATAAAATATTCTAAAATTGTAATCAAATGGATCATTAGATGGAAAGTGGATAAACGAAGTGCTAGAATTAACACTCGGCGCTTCCGTATAATTACGTATAAAATATGCATATTGTATAGGTTACGTAGATCACAAGATTACATTCATTTATAGTGGCTGAGTATCGGGTATAAGCGTAGAGCCGCGGCCCTTGCCGCGTTTTTCCTTTGCATTTATTAGACTTTTCCCACGACCATTTGTCCGCCTGCCTGTTCCTTTAGACATTATTTCGCATTTGTGCTCAACTGAATGCCACCTGTGTCACCCCCAGTGCCACAGAGCCCATTCAGTGGCTCATTTCCATTCGCAAGGATGCCCCAACAAGGAAAGGCAGAAGCAAATGCAAAGACAGAGCAAAGCAGAGCAACTTCAGGCTCAATGAACCCCCAGTGACCCCGTTTCCCGCCGCCTGGAGTGGAGAGGAGTGGGGAGGCGAAGAAGAAGCTTTTTAGTGATGGAAGCATAAAAGATGAAATGGAAATCCGTTGGGCTTTTAACACTTTGAAAAGTGTGAGTTTTTTTTTTTACGGCCTAACCACTATGCCTCCCCCCTATGCACTCACCCGCCCACTCGGATGACTGGCGACTTACCTTGCAGAGGGCCACGCCCGTGTCGAGCCGATCCATAAAGTTCTCGGCATTGATGCTCAGCTCGGGATACAGAGTGCTCAGCCACTCGGCGAGATCCTCCTTCATGGCCTCCAGATACTCCTCGCTGGACTTGAAGGGCCTGTACGGCCGTGCCTCCAACATGGCCATGGTGTGCGGTGTGTGGGCGGTGTGTGGGGTCGGGCTATGGTCTCCTCTTCCTGCGGCAGTAATCCCTCGCTCGATGAAATGGAAACTTCTGTTGCGGTTTGGCTTTCGCTTCGGCTTCGGATGCAGCAGTGTTACGTAGGATTCTCGCTATTCAGTGGATGCCACAGCATCGCGGCTCGATTCGGTTCGGATAGTTCGGTTATTTCGGCTTCTGCAAAGAGATGTAGATAGGAGACTGGCATTAGAGTGTGTTCCTTTGGGTGTAACCTGGCAATGTCGATCCCCCCCAATCCCTAACATGATTCATGTATATGTACATATGTATATATGTACGATATGAAATCGGTTTGGCATCAAGTAGATCATAAATTTCAAATATTTTGCAGACATTTCAACCGTAGTACCATAATATACTACACTGTTATAGCCCCCCGCCCTGCCCCATCCCAGCACTGAAAAACAGCGGAAAAAGAGCGAAAATTTATGATTGTGCCACTGCAGCTGACATAATTATGGGACGCAAAACCGCAGCAACAATAACGTTGCCGCCAGCAACAGCGACAGCGGCAGCGACAGCAACAGCGGCAGCAACAACTGCAAAAGTTATACAAATAAAATCAATAAATAAAACATAAAAGTGACTCGCGGCAGTCGTCGGTTACTTGAAAAAACCCCAACAAATCCAGCAGCGAGAGACCCATGCACAATGCCCCATGCCCCATTCCCCAGTCCATTCCCATTCGCAGACACGGCAGAAACCTCAAGACATGGCTAAAAGGTGGCCAGCCATTGGGCGCCAGGTTAATGGCTCACACCCCAGCGCTCAGTGCGGCGTGCCCCAACTGCAGTCCCACTTCCAATTTCAATTCCAATTCCGGCCACTAATTAGCGGTAAACGCAATTGAACTGTGAACTTCACTTGGGAACAGCTCGACGAGATTAATGTCGCCTGTCTCCCAATTGCCATCCCCATTATGGGAATCCATCGACGAAGCGTTGGATCCATCTCTAAAGGTAGGGAAGGGACTGGGGCCCACAAGGCCACGGCACGGCCCTTGGCGGAATAGTCGTAAAACGCATGGCCTATCTAGGCGTTTATCGAAGGGATTAACCTCAGCCAGGTCGATGGAGAAGGACTGGAAGGAGAGAGACAGGCCTTGCGGAAGATGGAGCGAACAGGTTCGATAATTAAAGAGAAGGTCTATGAGACATATGGGACTACTTTTGAGGGAATGGAACAGATAGTAAACAGAAATGAAATGACGAAAGAGCTGGCTGAGAAATTGGGGAATATTTTGCAAGGAATATACTATAGATTAATAGTAAATGGGAGGCAAACGAGTATGTAAATTGTAAGCCCCAATACCACCAGCAAAAGCTGCTCCAAGGAAACCAAACATACGAGTCTCATTAGCAGCTGATTCTGGCACATTCCGGCATCGAATCGCTTGGATAACGTCGATGCGCTGTGTAAATTTCCCATAGGCGAACGGCCCTAGCCAAATCCAATAAAAAGGCATTGGTGTTGCGTTGGAATTGGAATTATCAGTCGATGCTATCCGATTTTTTTGGAGGAATGTCTGGACGTTGATATGCAATGACTGCACCATGAAGTGGCCCATGCGACACCAAACCGAAGCCTCCCGCCCAACCGACCGAGGGGCGCTGCCGCATGACGCGCGACCGAACTGATCGCGAGCATGCAGGAAAGACAGGTGTTACACTAAAATTCGAGGAAAATTAGAGCTAAACACAACTCAAAGAGCTAAAGATGCAAAGATAGCCAAGAAATAGTACTAATTACGGGAAAGGTATTTTAGTATCAGTGATTTAAGAAGAGGAAGGGAATTAGTGGTGGATATTATATGGTAGAGGGAATTGAAGTCCGAACATTGGACCCTAATTGGCTCAAGCAAGGAATAATTTAATCTACACTGTGGAAGGAGCAAAGGAATAAAGTTTCTAGTAGATCTAATAATCAGAATCAGTAGATCTAATAGGAATATTCGTAGATGCTTCTGGTTCCTGACGGATGGAACTTCTAAAGAGAAGAACATATGACAGACTCCCACGGAATGGGGCGAGAGATCTGTGCAGATTGATCTGGACTACGTATTACAGTCCCGAAAAAGAGCTGCAAGGGAATGGGAATGGGAAGAGCATTCGAATTTTTTCTTTTGGGTCTCGCATTGCTTCGCTTTGGCTGTAACAACATTAGCCACTTGCGTAACACTCATTCGCCGATGAGGTTGGTCTTAATTAAGGCGCACCGTTTACATATGTACATATCTATGTACATGTGCTCGAAATGAGCTCTCCCAACTCTCCCACCTGAGATTCGCGTTCCGAAATCCGCGATCGGCGATCGGCGATCCACGGATGGATCCGTGGAGTCGACCACACAACAAAATCCATGGCTATATTGGCTAATTTGGTGCCATTGATGATGATGATGGGCAATCGATGAATGGTCGTCAGCGGCGGAATGGAGTCAGCTGATTGGAAATTGTAGCCCCCCCTGAGGGGGTCTGACAAATCCGCATCTCATCTCGCGGATGGCGCTGCTGGAATTTCACTTTTACATCGACTTGCAAAATATTCATACCATATGCAAACACACACACATACATGCAACATACATATGTATATGTACATACATTCGTATTTGTTTGCCTAGATCGATCAATCTATTCAATCTATTCACAGCCACGCCCCCTGCTGAGGGGGAGGGAGAGAATGACAGCAAAGACATCGCAACTTTATGTGATTTTGTTGTTGTTGTTGCTGCTGCTGGGATATTTCTTTATTTTGTTGCCATTTTCATTCGAGACAAACAAATATGCAAATGTTCGCCGGGTCGGCCTTTTGTTCGACTGATTAGCGGTATTTTTGAAAGTGAATTTAATTAAAAAATCCAAAAACGCCAAGCAAACAGATTCGTATAAATAGCATAGGATGCGTCGACATCATTTCGCTTATAAGGCCCGTCCCATTCCCCTTCCCATTCCCATTCCCCTTCCCATTACCATTCCCATTCCCCTTCCCATTACCATTCCAGCTCCTCTGCTAGAGCTCCCCCGGTAATTGCATTTGCATTCGCCTCAAAATGTTTTTTCGGCAATTGCCGATTTGCTCATTTGAAGCTGAGACCACTGCAGCGTCACTCCCACTGTAATGTACCCCCCATACATGCTACATGCTACATACATATGTATATTATACATTGTATGCAGACTCTCTCTTTCTCTTTGGCATCATTATACATAGTGCGGAATTGTCCCTTAGCGAACCGACTAGAAGCCTTCCCAGCCGAAAGTCCTTCTGCTGTTGCAGCTGCAGCTCCTGATGATGCTCTGTGATGATCCTTTTAATTCTGTTTCTTACATTAAAAACATAATCACCATGGGATGCTTTACATTTTGTATGCACATAAATAAGTATTTATAAAATCTAAGATTTTTAATTGGGAAAGGAATGCTTCGCTTCTGGAATGGGTGCCTGTGGGACAACGAAATCCTTTCAAGTAGGAATCGGTTAGCCATCTAAAACACAGTTTTATATGCAAATAAATGCATTTTTTGTAGTTTACTTATTTCATTACATTCCCATTTCCCTTTTTACTCAGTTCTACATACACACATGTACATATGTATATTCCTTCTTTCTTTACTCCTTAACTTCGTTGATTGTTCTTTAATCCTAATTTTCTTTCCTACTTTTCTACTCTTCCACTTTAGCCCTAGGCGAAAGTTTTCGCGTGGGGTGGGGAGGGGGGCGAACAACGGTGTTGCTGGCTTTCCTCCATTTCCATTTCCATTTCGATTTCCATTTTCATTTACACCTCGAAATGTGTGAATTGCTGAATGACAGTAAAAGTGATCGAGAGACCGTATGGAAAATATGTTATAAAAGCAACGAATTCCATTTTCTTTGCCCCGCTGCTGCTGTTGACTTTTTCAATTAACAATTACAAACGCCATGCCAGCCGATAGAGTTGGGGCTGGGATGGGGGATCGTTGTAGTGTGGTGTGGGGGCCATGGCCATGCGATAAAGTTTCACAATGCATGGAAGCATTGGACGGGTGCCTAGGGGGTGGGTGGGGGAGTATCGATATACATACGCGATAGATCCAATGAGAAAGAAATGCAAGTCGCATTTGGTTTCAAGTGTGGGGGGAGGGGTACTACACTCCACGCCACTCCACTCCACATCTCTCACACCCGCCTCGCTTCCCAGCTCGTACTCGTAGGTATCTCCCTTTTCTTGCCACCCAAACGTTCAATGACACTTGAAGCGACAATCGAAACGATTTCATTTCGAGCAGCAACATTCCCACACCCCACCCCACACTCAGTCCAGCACTCGCTCCATGGCGCAGCATTGCCAGGCCTCAACTTGATGCACTCGCCTCTGTCAGACATTTCAGTGCCGAAGACAACAACAGCAACAACAGCAAAAACAACAAAAATCACCCATGAACCATGGACCATGGACCATGATTTTGACAGCATAAATCCCCCGGGGATGCAGCTCTGCTCTCCATATGAGTGCCAGTATGAGTGCGAGTGCTCCCCATTCAATGGAGCAACAATTTCAAATCTCGTCCAAGTGCAAATGCTATTTTCACAAGTTATTATCTATCCATTTTCAGCCATTGAGCCAACAATGGTAACAGCACTTGAATGGAGTTCCCTCGCCACCTCCCTCTCCCAGTCACTCTTTTGCATGCACACACACACACACACACACAGACACAGACAAACACACACATGATTGTTTGCCTCCTTTTATGGCTCCTCCTCATGCTCCACCTGCATCTCCTCTTCTTTTGTCTCTTGATGCATTGCCATATGGAAAGAGTCTCCCTCTCCTCCTCTCTGGCATTGTCATCATCTCCTAGCATCAACCATCAGGCGTCAGGCGTCAGTCATCAGGCATCATCACTGTCATCGTCACCATAAATGCCCCACTCTAGCCCCCCCGCACCCACCCACCCCTCGCCATATCTTGGCGGCGCATTACGAGTAGGGTAAATGCACTTGGCGAAGTTCTGTCCCAGCTCTGTCTCTCATTTCGGCATTCGCAGCAAAATCAATAGAGAGAGCGACACAAAAGGACAACAGGCAACGCCATTTTGTAGTTTGCCATCGGAGAAGTTAAGTAACAGTAAAATCCGTCCGGATGGACAGTTCCATGGAGTTCACATCTCC